GGATAAAGAAATGACAAAGGAAAAACGAAAAAAACGGGAAACAAAGAAGGACAAGAAAACGAAAAATGGAAGAAGGTGGAGAAAACAATTAACAAAAATTTTAGGCGTTGTAGATAAAGAAGACGAAGAAATCAATAGAAATGGAAGAAGAAAAAGAAGGACAAGAAGAAAAAATGGAAGAACAAGAAACTAGAGACAACAGAGAACAACAAGAAGACGAAGAAGAACAAGAAAACAAAGAAAAAAAACAAAAAACAGAAAAGAACTGTTGACTGGCGCTGGAACCCCATGTGAGCCACACTGTAGTTTTTTTTTACAAAATCATTTTATATTCATTATGATTATCAATTCTATAAATAGGATTCTTACTTTTGTTATCATTAATACCATTATCATTATTACTATCATTGTTATCATAATCATCATTCTAATTTTGTTATTATTATTATTATTATTATTATTATTATTATTATTATTATTATTATTATTATTATTATTATCATTATTTTACTGTCATTATTATCATTCTCATTCTCATCATCATTATTACTATCATTATTATTATTATCATCATCATCGTTGCATTACCAATATCATCATTATTATCAGTATTATCATTATCATTATTATCATCATCATCATCATCATGACTATTATTATTATTATTATCATTATTATTATCATCATCATTACCATTATTATATTATTATTGTTATTATTATCATCATCATCATCATTTTCATCATTACTTATAATTTCTATCATTAGTATCATCATCACCATTATCATTATTAGCATCACTAGCATCATTCATCATCATCACCACCATCATTGTTTTCATTACCAATATCAGTGTGTTTCTTTTCCTCGTTTATCCACCTCTATTTCGCTTCGTAGTTCACTATCTGTCTCGCTTCACCCCCCCCAACACCCTACCCCCGCTTTCCTCGACGGTCGACGGAGCAGTTGCCATTTGCTTATTACGGTAGTTAAGTCCCCTCAATTTACATTAGATTAATTGCGTCGTCGAACAAGACATGTTAAGCCACGCCCACCATCGAGGGATATCAGATTTCGCCGCGGTGTCTGCTTCTCTGTCTCTCTTGATTTGTGTCTTTGCTGTCTATTCGTTGGTTTGAATTATGTCTATCGAGTTAAAAGGTCGGTTCTCGATGTCGTTCTGTGGCTTCTATCCCCGTCTCCTATCCTCTTTCGGGCGCCGCTCTCCATAAACCTAGCCTAGTCTGTGACGGGATGGTCTACTGTAGATTAGACTAGTGTAGGTTAGATTCACCCTTTACCAGACCCCTTGCAGATATAGCCCCCTTTCCCTTGAAATATCCTTTCTTCTTGCAAAAAAAAGTACCTCTTCTCTTCTTGCAGAAAGGGACTCCTTCCTCTTATAGAAAAGACTCCCCTTCCTCTTGCAAAAAAACAACTCTCCTATTCTTGCAGAAAAAAACACTTCACTCCTCTTGCAGAAAACTACCCTTCCTCTTGCAGAAAACACCCCTCCTTCTTGCAACCCGCCCCCCTTCTTCTTGCAACACCCACTCCCCTCTTCCTATAGCAACCTCCGCCTCCTTCCCCCCCCCTCCTCAAAAAGAAACAGAAACCACTCCCTTCCCCGCGACAGACAGTGGTTTCGAACTCTTCAGCCACAGAAGATTCGATCCCGGGAAGCCACTGGGATCTGGCGGCCTCTTCGGTGCGTCCTGTTGATGGCACAAGGAACGTACTTCAGGCTGCGATCTGGTGGTCTTTCGGTCCGTGCATTGGCCGGCTCCTCCGTTCAAAGGCTGGTCTCATTTGGTCCCTTCAATCATTTATCATTATTGTTTTTTTTTTTTATTATTATTGATGTTATTATCATCGTTCTTATCATCAATACTGCCAGTGTTATTATCATTATTATTATTATTATTGATATCATAATCATTATCGTCATTATTGTCATTATTATTTTTATTGCTATCGCTATTATTGTTATTACTATCATTATTATTATCATTACTATCATTATTACTATTATTATCATCGTCAATTATTATCATTGATATTACTAGTCACCGCGAACGAATACATCCATTTCCGTGCAGACAATTAGCATCGGGGGACACAACNATTATTGTTTTTTTTTTTATTATTGATGTATATTATCATCGTTCTTATCAAAATACTGCCAGTGTTATTATCATTATTATTATTATTATTGATCATAATCATTATCGTCATTATTGTCATTATTATTTTATTGCTATCGTTATTATTGTTATACTATCATTTTAATTATCATTACTATCATTATTGCTATTATTATCATCGTCAATTATTATCATTGATATTACTAGTCACCGCGAAACGAATACATCCATTTCCGTGGCAGACAATTAGCATCGGGGGACACAACAGGAGAGGTGCGGGGTGGGGGCGGTGGGGGTGGGGGAGAATTCGCAGAACGTTTGCGCCCCACCTCCGACGACAGCCCCCCCCCTCCCCC